TCAGTCCAGTTCCATGTTAAAATAGTTCCGGTTATACCGGTCAAGTCCAAATATCATGTCAACTTCCAGTAGAGCATCTTAACATATTAAACAACTATATTTTATCAGTCTGAGCATAGTATTTAGTAACTATTTATATTATGTTTCAGTTTGATCAGGCTACGATTATCAGCACTGCCTTTTCATTTCAACGGATCAGGTGGGGACTCAGACTGGGTATTACATTGATTATAATTATTCTACCATGTTTGAAGTATGTATTATCAGTATCCGCTCGGAATGGTCGCCTGTCCATTCTGGGTTCTAGTGGCCTTAGTCTGCCCACTAGAGTGTGCACATGGTGTCCGACATTTTTATGCTGGTAGATGTTCAGGCATCAGTCAGGTGATGATTATCACGATATCAGTATCAGATCACGCTTATTCAGTACTGGTTTCAGTTCAGTTCAGTTATATATATGCCAGGATCATGATATTGTAATTATTTTCACTGTTTACTTTAGTATGAGTTTCTACGGAGCACAGTGGATTAGTGCTCACGCCCCATATTATTCATATTTCAGGTCACAGGGTCGAAGTCGAGGAGTAAGCTGGCAGTCGGTTTAGGATTTTGGTTATGTTTAAAATGTTTTGGCAACGCTACGTTTTTTCGCTGATAACGACTAATTGTCGAACTTAGCTTTTGATCCGATTTCTAGTCGGTTACTATATTATGATAAATCGTTTTGTTTTTCTTTAAAACTAAATAACAGTTTTTCAAGTAAAGTCATGTTTTATGGTAGCACTCCGAATCAGTATTTCGCAACTTAAATGTTTTTATTTTGAAAAATTTTGCGAAAAAACGCTCTCTGATTTTCATGAAATAGCGGGGTGTTATAGTGGTCGCTTGTTTAGTACACCCCTTGGGATGGGCAGGCTGGCCCCTTGTTTCGAACATCCCTCGAATTGGGTGGGCAAGTGCCTGAAGAAAAAAATCCACCATGACTAAGGCCTCCGGGCTGGGTGGTCGCTTGTTTCGAAAGGCCCCCGGGGTCGGCAAGTGCCTGAAGACAAATTCCACCATGATTAAGGCCTCCGAGCTGGGTGGTCGCTTGTTTAGTACACCCCTTGGGATGGGCAAGTTGGCCCCTATTTCGAACATCCCTCGGATTGGGTGGGCAAGTGCGAAGACACGGATAGCTCAAGCAGATCGCGGAGGCAGGTCGATTATTTCTACTTGGTTCTATCTGGTCTGGTATTATCGTATATTTGTTCCTAACCCTAGTGGCAGGTTGAGGGAGTTCATTATGAATAATTCGAGCAGTATGAAGACAAAATCCACCATGATTAAGGCCTCCGGGCTGGGTGGTCGCTTGTTTAGTACACCCCGTGGGATGGGCAGGTTGACCTCCTGTTTCGAACCTTCCTCGGATTGGTTGGGCAAGTGCGAAGACATGGATAGCTCGAGCAGATCTCAGAGGCAGGTCGATGATTTCAACTTGGTTTTATTTGGTCTGGTATTATTGTATATTTGTTCCTAACCTCAGTGGCAGGTCGATGAAGCTCGTTACGAATAACTCGAATAGGTTAATGATATTTATTTGATTATGTTTTATGGAATTCGTCCTTTCAACCTCAGTGGCAGGTCGATCAACCTCGTTACTGATAACTCGAGCATGTTAATGATATTTATTTGATTTGGTTTTGTGGAATTCGTGCTTTTAACCTCAGTGGCAGGTCGATCAAGCTCGTTATGGATAACTCAGGTAGATCAACGGTTTATTTGATTTGGTTTTGCGGTATTTGTGCTTTTGACCTCAGTGGCAGGTCGATCATGCTCATTACGGATAGCTCGAGCAGGTTTTGTGGATTTGTTTGATTTGATTTTGTGGTATTTGTGCTTTTAACCTCAGTGGCAGGTCGATCAAGTTCATTACGGATAACTCGAGCATGTTAATAATATTTATTTGATTTTGTTTTGTGGAATTCGTGCTTTTAACCTCAGTGGCAGGTTGATCAAGCTCGTTACGGATAACTCAGGTAGATCAATGGTTTATTTGATTTGATTTTGTGGTATTTGTGCTTTTGACCTCAGTGGCAGGTCGATCATGCTCATTACGGATAGCTCGAGCAGGTTTTGTGGATTTGTTTGATTTGATTTTGTGGTATTTGTGCTTTTAACC